TAGCTCATTGGACATCTTTTTATTACTGTTTGGCTTCCACTAGCCCCACTACTGTCGTTACTGTTAAGCAGGCCTTTGGTAATCACGGATTACTGGCCGGTTGCGATGCTAAACCCATAGGAGCGGGTTTGGGTCGTGACACTTATATTGATGTAGAATGTATTAAATTTAAGTGTCTTTTGGCAAATATTGAAATTAAAAATTTGTTATGTTTTTTTGATGAGGGAGAATATCTCTATATCTCATCTCTACATACCTATTCATATCTCTCTTGTGGGCCTCAACTTGAGCACACCCATATGATTTGCATTGTCTATTTCATAGATCTCGCAGTAAAAGTTATTTACGCAAAAAATTGGTTTCATTAGATAAGTTTAAATATGGAAACAAAACGCATCTTTTAGTTATAAAATGGATGATTTAAATTTACAATCTATGGATTGTTTATTTTATAAAACAAAATGTGATTTGTTCTTGTGTTTATAGTTGTCCAATAAAATTGATTTTCAACATGGATAACAATTATTGCGAGATTTATGATACATGTGCTTGGATTGAGGTCCACAAAAAGAACATGGAGAGATGAGGTATGGAGGAGAACTTATTCTTGTGGATAAAGTTGTGGTGTTATGTTTTCCTCATTACTTTAAAAAAAAATACTACATTTACAAAAACTTTATATGAAATAATATGACAATAATATTTTTTTTATTATGAATCATAGTGATGGGGTTTTTTGCATTCAATGAATAAATGGATATAAATGAATCACACAATTTATATGAAATTTTTACATAAATTCTATTTGTATAACATTATTTTTATTTCCAATTATCTCACTTTATTGTTGGCTGACTGTCAGAATTCGAAAAAGTAATTCTTCGAGTTATTATTTTAGTCATCATTGGATAACGTTGTCAATTTCTTATTTTTCTAGTTTACATATAACAAGAAATATGTTTTATTGTTTTCATCATAAATTAAAAAAAAAGGAAAAAAAAAAAAAGAGAAAGTTTTAGTGCCGTTTGGTATGTTTTTTTACTTTTTTTTAATAGAAAATGGTAAATATGCTTACGCTTATTTTTGATAAGAAATGAAAGCAAAACACATTTGGTACAACGCACATAATTTCAATTTTGAAAGCAAGTGCAAAGTGATGGTCAAAAGTGATTGCCGACAATTCAAAATGGTAGTTGTTGTCCACGAAAAGTGTTTTTTTGGCAAGAGGTGATTGCAAGACACCAAAGGTGGTTTTTGACCATGGGAGGTTGTTCAAGATGGTCACCGGAGGTGGATGCTGATTACCAAAAGTAGTTTCTAGAAAGAGGTAGTTGCCCGCCATTGAAGGTAGTTTCCGACAAGAAGTGGTTGCACTAATGAGAGATCATTGGCAATGGCTAGATGTGGTTATTGGTTGCAGGAGTTGGTAGCCAATGGTCGACAGTGATGGCCAAAGGTAATTGCGTAGTCAAAGTGGTTTTCTAACAAGAAGTATAGGCTGAAGATGGGAAGTGGTTGGTGGTAGTCGGAGGTAGTTTCTAGTCTCAAGAGGTGATGCCGAAGATGGTTGCTAAATGAGGTCAGTGGCGACGGTAATAGTGATGAGTGGTGGGTGGTGTCTAGGATAAGAGAAAAAGGAAAGGATGAACATTTTACTCCCTAATCTAATAATTCAAAATGAATAAAAATAGAAGGACAATAAGAATTTTAGGGAATCAAAATTTTGGGCACTCATGTATTTATAGGGGTTTGGGTCGTGACACGGGTGGTGATTGGAGGAGCAGGAAAAAAAGAAAAAAGAAAAAGAAAATGTAACCAATGAGAGAGAGAGGGGGTCAAAGGGGGTGGGGGAAAAAGAGGGTGTGAAACATTTTTGTGAATTCAAATAGAAGGACAATAAGAATTTTAGGGAATCAAAATTTTGGGCACTCATGTACTTATAGTTAGTGATAGGAATAATTTTGTTCATAAAAAAATCTATGTATTTATTATTATTTTTTTATCTTTCCACTTATATCGCAATTTCAAAAGATTTATCATTAAATTCTAATTAATATTACTAATTTTTACTGATTTGTTAAATATATTTTAATTTAAGAAAGTCTGACAGCATTTTTCCAAATTCTCTAATTCTATTTTAATGTATGCTTAAATGTTTCATGATAGTTTGAATTTCACAATTTTAAAATTCTTTAAGAATTAAAATAGAAGGACAATAAAAAGGGTTAATTTCACCTTATACCCTTGAATTATTGTCAAATTATATATTTAGTACTTAAACTATTAATTGAGTCTATTAAGTTCTTAAAGTATATAAATCGAAATTTACATAATTCTTGAACTATCAATTGAATCTATTAAGTTATTAGTTTAAAACACAATAAAATAATTTGGGTAAATTACACTGACATCCTCTGAAGTTTATATTTATTACAATTCCCTCCTCACATTTTGAAAATTATATTTCTCTCCCTGAGCTTTAAATACAAATTCCCCTCTAAGCAATTTAATTTTTTAAAATACCAATTTTGCCCTCACTGGGTCAATTACATTGACACCCATCACATTTTAGAAATTACAATCCCCTCCCTAAGGTTTAAAGTAGCATTGTCAATTGTCCCCTCGGCTAATATTAGTCGGAAAAAAAATTCATTGAAAAGAAAAATTAATTGAAAAAAAAAATTGTTAGTAAAATTTTTAAATTTCTGTTTAAAAACCAACGTAAACTCATTTTTTGAATTTACGTTTTTTTCTCAAATTTACAAACTGCGACAACAATTTATAAACAAAAAAAAAATTATCAAACAAGTTTTTATGACAGTTTTTAAAATTTTTGTAAATATAAATTAAAAACTGAAAATGAAATAGTTACCAAATAGGACTCAGATAGTAAAAATATCGTAAAATTAATAAATAATTAAATAAGTTACCAACGTAAGAAATGACTTATCAAAAGATTCTTAGGCTATGTATGATTTGATTTTTAGAATTTTTTTTAAAAAATTAAAAATTAATTTGGTTAAGAAATAAAAAATAAAAAATAATTATCATTTTTACATAATTTTTTTTTTCAATTAATTTTTTTTTTCAAAGAATTTTTTTTCCAACTAATACTAACCAAGGGGCAATTGGTAATGCTACTTTAAACCTTAGGGAGGGGATTGTAACTTTTAAAATTTGAGGGATGTCAATGTAATTTACCCAGTGAAGAAAAAATTGGTATTTAAAAAAATTAAATTGCTGAGGAGAGAATTTGTAATGAGACTTTAAACCTTAGGGAGGGAGATGTAATTTCCAAAAGGTGAGGGGAGAAACTGTAATAAACATAAATCTCAGGGAGTGTCAGTATAATTTACCCAAATAATTTTTAAAGACAAACTTAAATAATATCTTAATTAGGTAATCTGATACTCATTAGAATACAATAAAATAATTTTTAAAGACAAACTTCAATAAAATCTTAATTAGGTAAGGTTTTTTCACTAATTTATAATAATTTTAAACTTATGTATTTGTTTTATGATTATTTTAGAAACTAAATATGTTTAAATTAAATACTTTAGGAACATGATAAATTTAATTGATAGTTTAAGAATTAAGTAGATTTTACTTTGTATATTTTAGGATTTAGTAGACTTCATTGTTAGCAAATTTTTTTTTTCAATTAATTTTTTGTTTTCAAATAATTTTTTTTCAATGAATTTTTTTTCCAACTAATACTAACTGAGGAGGGCAATTGGTAGTGCTATTTTAAACTTTAAGGAGGAGATTGTAATTTTTAAAATGTGAGGGGTTTCAATGTAATTTACCCAATGAGGGCAAAATTGGTATTTAAAAAAATTAAATTGCTGAGGAAGGGAATCTGTAATGAAATTTTAAATCTTAGGGAGGGAGATGTAATTTCCAAAAGGTGAGGGAAGAAACTGTAATAAACATAAACCTCAGGGAGTGTCAGTGTAATTTACCCAAATAATTTTTAAAGACAAACTTAAATAATATCTTAATTAGGTAATCTGATACTCATTAGAATATAATAAAATAATTTTTAAAGACAACTTCAATAAAATCTTAATTAGGTAAGGCTTTTTACTGATATATAATAATTATAAACTTATGTATTTGTTTTATAATTATTTTAGAAACTAAATATGTTTAAATTAAATATTTTAGGGACATGATAAATTTAATTGATAGTTGAAGAATTAAGTAGATTTTACTTTGTATATTTTAGGATTTAGTAGACTTCATTGATAGTTTAAAAACTAAGGGGATACTTGACAAGTTAGAATTTTAGCCAAAAAAATAAAAAAATACTAAAAAAATAAAATAAAAAGCCATATTAAAAAGTCAAAATTTTCCTTCTATATATTCTCTAAAGTATGTTTGTTTGTTTTTTTTTCAATTTTTTTTTTTATATATATAAAAAGTCAAACAATCATTTTTATACACTTTAATTTTTTTCACATCATATTTTAATTAATAAATTAAAAGTCACAAAATATCACTTTTCAAATTAAAACTAAATAGAAAATTTGATAATAATTAAAGAGTAGAAAGTGAAATTAACCCAATAAAAATTTTAGAAAAAAATATTTTGGAGAAATTACAAAAAAATCTCCAAGGTTTGACCATTGTGTCAAAACAAACCCAGAGTTTTTAATTTTATCAATTCAAATCTTAATCTTTTAATTTAAATTTTATCTAAATCATTTGTCTATTTTCATTAGTAAAATTGATGAAAACTTTGTATTTTAATTACTCCTATTAAACTCAACGAAAAATGACACTTTAGACATTTTATGTACGTTTATATTGAGTTTAATGATTAAAATATAATTTTTTTATTCCATTTAACTTAACAAAAATAAATTGACAATTTAAATTAAAAAAATTAAAACTTTAAAGTTTAAATTAATAAAACTAAAATTTAAAACTTATTTTGTTATAAATATGAAATCTTAATTTTATAATTTGCCCGAATATTTTTGGCACTTATCACACTAGCACCAAGTAGAAGAGTGATAAGCTCCAACACACCACCACTCTAGTCCCCTTTCAGATTCTGAAAATTGGAGCACAAATTCTTATTTAAAAGGAGGAGCAACTTACCAAATATATATATAATATATGATATGAAATGGATATAGTGACCTTCGGAGTTATAATCGGCATAATCGTTCTCTTCTTCGGCGCTGTTTGCTTCATCACCATTGAAGGCACTTGCAAGCGCCGTCCTTCCTAGTCCCAATCCAAACAGCCCCTTCAAAAACTCATTTAAGTCTTCAATAACCCCCCAAAATGGCGATTCTCAGTACCCAGATCTGCTCAATGTTGGTTCTTGTGGTTTTGGGAATTGGGTTTTGCTCAAATCTGGGTTTTGGGCACGAGGGTCATAGTTCTGGATCCAGTGAATCCGCGGTCCGTGATGATCATGCTCATCACCACTGTGATCACGGACACGGTCACCATCACCATCATGATCATCATCCTGAGGAGAGGATGGTTGAATCGAAGAAGCTACTACCAGAGGAATTGGCTGAGGAGGAGGATCTGAAGCTGTACGGATTTGGGTCCCACCAGAGTCACCATCACCACCATGATCATCATCATCATCACGAGCATGGTGCTTCGGAGCTTTCTGGTGCCGGTAATTGTTGACATTTTCATTTCAACTATGTGTTTCTGTTGAAAAAAAGTGTTTTTGTTTTGTTTTGTTCTGTTTTGTTTTGGGTTGATCGAGAATTTTGCCTGCTGTCAATGCATTGATGTTAGGAGAATTTATTATATATGTATATACATCTATTGTAGGAAATTGCTTGATATATAGCATTCAGTAGCTTCCTGTTTTTTGGAACTATTTGATTTAGAAAAAGTTAATAGGACATCAAGCAATTATATGGCAAAAATGGGTGCATATTTTTTTTTTTTTATAGATTTGATTTATAGTTTAGTTGTGTGGGTCTTAACATTAGTGTATCGATATGGGGACTGGAAAATAGCCGAGGGAGACTTGATCTTCAAACACTGGAGGGTTCATATATACTAGACTGATTGGAAAACATTGGAAAATTATTTCTTTTAGTTTGACATGTTACTAAATAAGAACTAAATTGGGAATTCTGTGGTTGATGGAGACAAGTGGCAATAACCTTTTAAGGTGTACAAGGGGTGTGGAAGAGATGCTTTCAAGAACTATGCTTTGATTTGGCATGCATTGGATGATGCACAATCTAAATGAGACCTTGGATAATGATGTTTAGTGTTAGGGTCTTGTTCTTACTTTTACATTTTATATGTTGTTGGTCCATTTTTTAGTTTAGGAGTATTTTGCTAGTTTTTAAATTTGCTGGACATGCATGGTAGGGGTTGCCTATGGGTCGTGGTATGTGTCAAGTTATCTATTTAGGGTTTTTATTTGTAGGCATTATTTGATTTTAGATAAGTTTTTGGAGTCAAAACTAAGTTTCCGTATTAGAAACTCTAGTGTTATTAAAGGTGATAGGTGCACTAAAGCGCCAAGGTTTCTTAGGGCCTAGGTGCAAGGTGCAAGGTGCAAGGCGAGGCACGGGTTTCATCGAAATGAGGTTCACGTTGACAATAAAAAATAGATAATTTAATGTAAGAAAATAATTCAAGGTTCAACATGAGTAAAATGTAATATTGAATATTTAAAACACAAATACCAACAAATACTAATATTTTATCATAGACAAACAATTCAAGGTTGCACATAAACACAATCATTTAACTCATAAATTATAAACATTTGAAAATGCCAACAAAATGGAAGTGTCTTATAAGATAAGAATGGAGAAGGAGGAGATTGAGGAGATGAAGAAGATGAATAACAATAACTGTTAGTTTGGTCAAAGAGAAAGCTCTATTGAACCAATGCCTTTGTATAGTTAGATCTCAAAAAGTGTTGGGTTATAATGAATGTTTAAGGGTTTAATCTCTTGTAGTAGCATGTAAACAAAAAAATAATGAGATTAAGTGAAATTAAAGGTAGTAATTGTAATAAACAAACATTTTCAAAGAAGCTCACAAGTTGTGCGCCTTGAGCTTAAGCCCAAAGTGCATGCTTCATGCGCCTTTATGGGGCCTATTTTACATTGCCTGGCTTGAGATGTTTTGAAGCGCACTGACTGCATCTTGATGAGCCTTGGGCCTAGGCGCACCTTTAATAACATTAACCCTATTCCTATTAATTTGGGATTGCTTATGTATACAAAAATTATGTAATTGCTTCTAATAGAGAACATTTTTGGAGAGGCTTTTTCTAGCAAAATATACTTGTTTGAAATCCTGTGATGCAATCCGACAATAAGAATTATGCTAAAGGGTTTTAGAAGTGGTTTCTAGAATTAGTTTCTGCCTTTCTTTTTACTCGTTTAATATTATATATATATATATTTTCTAAACATTAAAGCAATGACATGTTTGACCAGTTATGTTTTTATGAAATTTAATCAATTTCATTTTTTTGTTGCATTTTATAGGTCTTTGGATTTATGCGATGGGATGCTCACTGTTGGTGAGCATGGCTTCCCTCATTTGCCTGATAATTTTGCCTATAATATTTAGTAAGTTGTTTAGCTGTATACATTGACGTATTTTCTGGACTTCAGCAGTTGTTCTTGCTGAATTCATTCTTGTTTTCTATTGAAGATGCATGTCTCCATATACTAATTTTAACTTTTCTGGTTTGTTTCAGTCCAAGGAAAACCATCAAAGGCAGTTGTGGACTCATTGGCTTTATTTGGGGTCTGATTCTTCCTGCCTTTTATTTTATTTTATTTATTTGTAATTTTTTATAATTTTTTTTTTCATGTTCTTTGAGTTGATGGCTCTGAATTGCTGTTTTCTTCTATGTTTTTGGCTGTTACATTTGTTGAGTACATGGATTTTTTTGTTTTTCCATTTTGTTCAAGAAGCTATTTGAATTGCTTGATTTTTTTGTCACTTCAATAATTATGATGATGGTTTACTTTCTAATTTGTGACTACTACTTGGATTACTGAATGTGCTAATGCTTCAATTAGTTGTACTACCACGTAAGCTTTGGATATCCAGTATTCAATGTTGCAACAAAATTTGTCCATAGCTAATCTAGAAAAGGTTGGATGACTTCCACACTTTGATTGTTAGTTTTTAATTTCATCTATTTAAAATTTGTTGTTATTATAGTCTTGTTTCTGTTACTATTATTATTTTTTGTTTATTTTATTGGGGAGAATTGTAGGATGTTACTTTCACTGGATAAGATATTTAATATTTTCACAAGCTAAGTTTTTGGATTTGTGCTGTATGGTGTATATGTTAGTGATGCAATATATAGAGGTGTCGCTATGTACTTGAGATGATCGTTTTGAGGCACTGCTTTTACTTGAATTACTGCACCCAACTGTTTCTGAAGTGGACCCTGCTTATATTGGCACATATTTGGGAAATATACATTAGGATTGGCTGATACTTGGATAAAGATGCAGGGTAGATGGTTGTCCTGACTGCAAGGAAGAACCCTATCTAGAATATGAACCTTGGAAGGAAGATACCTATCAAACTGATCACAAGAATACCAGTCACAGTGCCTAGTAGCCAAAGAAGAATCTCCCCTAGTGATTTGATAAAAGTAATATGAATAGCATTCCAATGGATATAACACCATAGTTGCATCAAGCAACAATATCAGTGTCCTTATGATTTACATCTTTGTGTTTGTTTCAAGGAACCTTGTGGAAAGATTGAAATGCATTATTGATTAGTTCAGATGTTGGTATCCCAGTGGAGGTGGTTGCAAGTTGAGTTAGTTCCTAAAGAAGTGAATTTTGTTTTTGTTTTTATTGTTTTTGGCCTTTATATCCTTTCTCTTGGCACATTTGTAATCTATCTCGGAATTTTCATCTTTATTTGACCTTATACCTGTCAAATTCTTGAATTATTCCCCTTTCAATAAGAAAAAATAGAAAAAAGAAATCTAAACTTTCTTGGAAGGCTGACTTCTGTAGAATTATTGAGCAAATGGAGGAGTAAAGATTGCATTGCCTTTCGTTGGATGAAATGACACATCTGTAGGATTTTGTTTCTTCAGTTTCTTTGTTATGAGGCTGCTTACCTCTATGATTTTTTTTGCTATTTGCAGGCTGGAGCCATGTTAGGTGATGCTTTTCTTCACCAATTGCCACATGCTTTTGGTATGCAATGGGTCTGATGTCATTCTTTGGTACTTTAATGATGCTTAGTTTTTTTATTATATATATATTATTTATGTTTTATATGTAGTTCTGATTCTTGAATTTCTATCTATCGTCATTACCACTAAACAGCTTTGGCTGTTATTATATCAGAAGAAAATTTAAAAACATATGGTTACTATTGGGATAAGACTGATTTCATTGATGAAGGAACCATGCTTTCCTCCTTTTAGGAGTGGTGCTCTTGTTTTAACCCCTTGCCCAGTGTCAATTTCTGAGAGAGATGATTGACTTGGTGTTAGGGATGAACCTATTATACCTGGTGAGAATTTTAAGGCCATTAATCCTTGTTTTTCTGAGTCTGATGCTATGGCAGTATGTCATAAATTAAATGTTTGAGATGGTAAAATGTCTTATCATGGAAGCGAGGGGTTTAGCCTTCCAGGGGTAGGAATCTTAATGAAAATGTGAAATGGTTGATTGAGTTAAAGAGGAATGCATCTTCTCCTCTTCATGAGGTTGGGGGTGGGGTGTTCTGTTAAGTCAAGTACTAGACATAATGGGTTTGTCTTTGGTAAAGTGAAGTAGGTGAGAGGATGGATTACAAGGGGAATATATCAGAACGGGGGAGAAATAGCAGAATTAAGGGTAATTGTAGGAAGGGGATTAGGAATTGAGGAATTTGGTTTATGGAATTAATATGATGGTCCAGCAAGTGAGATCGTGGATATAAGTGGTTCTAAAATGAATATTATAAGTTGAAATGTGAGTGGACAACTATCCAAGAACAGGAGAAGTGTGGTAAAGGAGGTTTTGCTTAGGAATAACGTAGACATTGTAATTCTTCAAGAAACAAAAATAGAAAAATTCAGTGGGAAGTTGAGCATTTTGGGGGTTACGTATAGGAATTGGGCTTCCTTACCTTCTTGTGGAAGATCTGCTTGGGGAGAGGTGTTGATAATTTGGGAAGAGAGTGATTAGTGAGTGTGAAGTAGTTGTTGGGGAGTTTTCAGTGGCCAGTCGGTTTAGGATACAGGAATAATGATAATAGTGAGTAGTGGGCAGGTTCAAAATTGGGAGGTGGGCAGTTAGACTTATTGACTTTTCTTTATGGGGTGCAAGTTGGAGGTAAGGAGGAGGATGTTTTGGTCTGGGAAGGGTCAGGTTTTTTCTTAGTTTCTTTGTTCTATCGGGATTTGTGTGGTGGTGTCGTGGGGGAGTTCCTTTGGTGTCGGATATGGGTCACAGGTGTTCCATCTAAGGTGGCTTTTTTTTGTGTGGACAGCGGCTTTCGATAGGATTCTAACTATTAATAATTTGGTATGTTTTGGTCATTTGGTGTTGTATGTGCTGTGGTGATGCGGAGTTAGTGAATCATCTGCTTGTTCAGTGTCTGGTGGCTTACCGTTTGTGGGCTTTTATTTTTACTACTTTTGGGGTGCAGTGGATGCAACCGAAGGGGGTATTAGAGGTCCTATGGAGTTGGGCGGGGGTTGGGTAAGGAAGAGGCGTCGGAAGGCCTTGGGCTATGGCTCCTTTGTGTTTAATGTGGTTGTTTTGGTTGGAACGGAATCGTCATATTTTTCAGGAGGTTGCTTGGTTGGTGCCATGGTTAGAGAGGAGGTTTCTCCGAGTGTTGTGTGGTTGGGTGTCTGGGCGGGTGGATTTAGACTTGTTTACCTTTTTAGATTTCATAGATGATGTGATTGGTTGAGGTGTTTTGGGTCCAGTTCTTGTTTAGATTTTGTTGATGTGATTGTTTGTGGTGTCTCTTTTGTTTGGGAGTTCTGTCTTGTATTTTTTAGCATCTCCTTGATGCTTTAGTTTATCAATGAAGTTTTATTTATCAAAAAAAAAAAAGTGAGTGGTGGCTTGCGGGAGTTGTTTGGTTTGTTTGGGGTTTGATATCCAAATTGGTGTGTTGGTAGTGACTTTAATGTAATCAAAGTAGTTTCCAGAACGCTGAAGGGGGATGGACTCACTAGGAGCATGAAGGACTTTGATGCATTTATGAGAGAGTAGGAATAGGTCTATCCCCCATTGTCAAATGCTAGATTCACCTGTAGGCTAATTTTGTGTTTAATAGTCTGGATAGATTTTTGTATTCTTTAGGTTGGGAAGAGAGATTCCCTAGTGTCAGACAAGAGGTGCTTCTGAGAGCAATGTTTGATCATTATCCAGGGGTCTTAGAAAGCCGTCCTATCAATTGGGGTCCCACTCCTTTTAGGTTTGAGAATATGTTAGATTATCACTTGTTTAAGAAATGTTACCAGGAATGGTGGGAAAGTTGTAGACCTCACGGGGTGGGGGAGTTTCAAATTCATGAAGAAACTAAAGTTTATTAAATAGTACTTGAAAATTTGGAACAAAAGTTTTTGGAGACTTGAAAGAGACTACAAAATAAAATTTTGGTTAGGATCAATAAGTTGGACAGTCTTGAGATAAGTGGTGGTCTTTTTGAATCTCTTTTTGAAAGTAAGTTTGAGGAGGTGGTCTTTAGAGAAGAAATTTCTGTGGCTAAAAAATCTAAAGCTTAATGAAAATTATTTTGCGAGGTTGCAAATGGAGGTCAAATCATTAATCATGTTTTCCTTTTTATTCAAGATTGTATTCTTTTGAGGGAGGGGTGAGTAGGATGAGATTAGAATGGTTGGGATCGTCCCCTATTGGTTCGGAGAAGGTTACTTGGTTGAAAAGGCTTTTTGATGTTTGGAAATAGGAAGGTGGTTTTTAAAGTGTAAAAGGGATGGGTCCCTAGGGCTTAATGTTTTTTTTTTTAATTTTATTTTTATGACCACTTTTTACGTTTGTTGGGATATTGTTAATTTTGATTTGTTGAAAGTTTTTAATGATTTTTTTGAGAAAGGAGTTGTTGATGCTTGTGCAAATGCTCCATTTATATGTTTGATTCCGAATAAAGAGAATTCTTTAAGAATAGGTGATTTTCAACCTATTTGTTTATTTACTTATTTGTATAGAATTTTCGAAAGTTTTATCTATGTCATTGAGATTGGTTGTGGGGGACTTCATTTCTCTTCTCAAGGTGCCTTTGTTGAGGGGTGTTAAATATTAAATGTTGTAATGTATCAAATTTTATTGCTCGAATCCATTACAATATCCCTTTAATTAAGTCAATTTCCAAGATAATGAGCAAGAATAAAATAAATGAAATAATCAAGGTTCTTGCTTTCGTATGAATACACAATGATGACAAGTCCAATACAATTAAATTATAACAGTGCCCTTAGGCTCACATCGAAAATAATGTGAATGAAATAGGAGGGAATAACCCTCTTTACAATGAATTGGCACTCCGCCTAAGGTAATAGGTTCTGTGGCTAACAATCACAAATCTTTTGAACTTCACACCTAAAAATAATCAACGACGTGAGATGAACATGAATGTCCAGTAGGAATCTCAATGATTCTAAACAATAACAATATATGGATAGCTATGATCATGAACACTACAAGTCATTATTATATATGTAATGTGACTTTTTATACCCAAACAAACATACATATCTTTTCTCAAAAGAAACATTCTTTATAATTTCTAGGAAAAAAAAAAGAACTCATTTTATTTATTTTTATTTTTTATCTTGGTAGTTTGCCATTTTCAATTCTAAACAATTTCCAAACCTAATCACATCTCTTGTACTCCCAATAATTTCATCATATTATTTATTTCCAAAACCAACCCACTGTTTGTTCGTTGTATTTTTGTGATACTCACTTGCATCAAACAATACTCACATTGTTCCGAATTCAATATCCACTTCATAACACAACTCCAACTATATTATTGATATTTATTTTCATCAACAATTGTCTCTACAGATATACACGCATTAGCAATAAAAATCTCATGATAAAATAAACAACTTGGGGTCTCATCAAGCCCTACATCACCACCGTTATGTCATCAAGCCCCATGTCTGGTTGCTTTACCGGTTGCTAGCTGGAATGAAGGCATTACATCTATATAGCACAGCCTGCTTTACTATGTGCTAACCGGAAGGAACACATTACCTCTATATAGCACATTAACCCACTTTACCGGTTGCTAGCCAGAAGGATAGTGTTACCTCTATATAGCACAATCACATTTCACAACACATACATCTCAATTTCTTTCCATTCATTCTCATCTGATTAATTAATTACACAGTTAACCAACAACGCATAAGGTTTCAGTTCAACCTATTTCAATCAATTCTACAAGAAGCAATACCATCCTCTCCCGATGGCCAGAGACAACTTCTATGCAATAAAGGCTCAACTCTCACATTAAAAGAAAATAATTCTCGTAGCAATTTCTTACTTGATTTCATCATTTCCAATCACCAATAGTTTCATCATAAATCAAATTGAAGACCATTACGTATTTCTCTTCCTCTTCCAATTTCATGATACAAGTTTCACAACTATTACTTAGAAAATCATTTATCTTTCCTTTGTCTATTTTTATTCCACTTTTCAATAATTTTGATTACATTATTCAATTTCTCGACAAGCTCGATATATTGCCACTACATGACAACCCCTCCATTTCAATTTCACAATAATGAATTTACAATAATCGACACAACTCAAATAGACATAGGATCCATCAATTTACCTCATTTTCGAAGTTGTTACGTAGACAACTAAGATTAGGACTTTCTACTTAAATCACCACAATTCATATTCTAATTGCATAATAGTTTCAATAATTATGTAATTACCAACTCTTCTCTATCATCATGAATATTCAATTAAAAATGAGGGCTTTATGTTCAGTCATCATAAACATGTATTATTATCTTCCAATTTCATAACCAACAATAAAACATTAGATTAACTCTTAAAATCCAAAACCCTAACTCAAAACCCACATGCATTTCGAAAATCTCTACACAACTATGTCTTAATGCAATAGGAAAATACCACATGTCTATCTATACCAAAGTATTGAAGAAAAGTAAAGAATCTCTACCTTTAGAAGAGAAGAGAAAAAACCCAAAATCGACCTTGACGGAATTTGATGCTCGTCATTGGTCCAAAGGACTAGTGCCAATATGTTGTTTGATTTTAATAGATCAAAGAAAATATGAGGGTTGGTGGGTTTGTGTAGGGAGAACGTCGAGAAAATAAGAAAATAAATTTGAGAGAGAGAGAGAGAGAAGTGAGTTCAAATCAGTGTTATTAAAAGCACGCCTAGGTGAGCACCTAGGTCCAAGTCCCATCCAGTCCCAAGTCCCATCCAGGCCCAAGGTTGCGCCTTGTAGTGTTCTAGGCTAGGCGACTTTGATAAGGCACATCTAGGCCCAAGGTTTGCGCCTTGCAGTGTTCCAACCCAAGCAACTTCGAGAAGGCGCGTGATTGGTCTAAGGCACAATAAGGCCCAAGGTTTGTGTCTTGAGTTCTTTTTTTATTGTTGCTTTAATTGGTTTTGTTTAAAATTTGACCATTGGTTTAATATGGTGCAGCTACAGAAGATTCCTACTCTTATTACAGATGCCAATACATTGGACATTCAATCCCAAATCAATGATAGAAGAAAAATTAGCCCTAATTTCTAATCTTCGAAGAACACTAAATGTTCAACATTTCATTTTGTTTATGTTGAACCCTAAACTATTTACTTATATTAAATTATATATATTTTTTCGTACTAGGTGCGCCTCACTTCATTGAAGCCTGCGCCTTGCCTTGCGCCTTAAGCCTAGTCCGCAAGAGGCCTTGGTGCGCCTATTGCCTTTAATAACATAGGTTCAAATGTGGGAAAAATCAGGTTTTGACTGAAAAATAGCTGTAAACGCAGATTTCGAGGTTATCAAACGCGCTTGGCTGCGCATGCAAAGCCTCCTTATGCACGTGCGAGATATCCCCACAGCAGGTGCGGTTTCACACATCACAAAATCTCCTTTAATCCCCTTCTCTGCACATGCAACCCCCTACTCCGCACGTGCGGTCTCATACCCTACATGTGCAGCCTCATACCCTGCATGTGCGGTCCACCTGATCTAGCCCAAACCTCAAGGTGATTCCATGTCTCCATTTTCCATCCTTACGCCCGAGACTCGAAAATTTTAACTTGCTACGCCACAGGACACCCAAAACTTTGGAAAAAAAAACAAATGAATCTGAAATGAGAGTTCAAGTCGGGTTAGAGACCCCAGACATCACAGTTGTTTTGGTAGCTACAAACATGGAGAGGGTTATTTTAAGGCTGATTTTGAAGAAGTATATGATCATGTGGAGTGTTTTCTTTTCTTTTTTTTTTGGTCATGAAAAAGAAATGATTTGGTGAGAGATGGAGAAAGTGGATGTTCATGTGTAATTTTTTTAGTAAAATTGAATAGTAAAGCATGTGATACTTTTTAACACTACTAGGGGTCTTAGACATGATGATTCTTTATCTCTATTTTTATTTACTGTAGAGGGTTTTGGGGAGGTTGGTTGTTTGGTCTTAGGAGGTGGGTTTAATGGAGAAGTTTGTGATAGGTTGGTTTAGGATTTCAGTTTTTCACCTACAATTTGCAGAAGATACTATATTTTTCTTTTTTTAGAATTTCACCGACAGTTTGTAGCATGTTTTAATCGTTTCTGGTCATAATATGTTGTTGTACAATTATGTTATATTTTGCAGGTGGTGAACACTCCCATTCACACAATCATGATGTCGATCATGCTCCTTTTGGACGTGAGCATTCACATTCTCCTAAACATGCACATACCTTAAAAGATCTTTCTGTTGGTTTGTCCGTTTTGGGTAAGTTGAGAAACATGCAACGTGCATACACTATTTGTTAATCTCAGTCAGATGCTTTCTTGTTTTACAATATATATTTATGTATTGTGCACATGCAACAATGATCTGTTTTATATATTCCTGTAATTTTGCCTCTAATAATGTATAGAAAAAAAATTACTTTCTCGTCTCTCAAATTTGAAAATTAATAATTCTGAATAATAAATAATTATTAATGGTTATCAAAGTAATTAACAAATTATAAATGCACATTTATTGATAATCCAAATGTGTCACTGTATTACATTGGACCGCATGAATGGTTCAAAAGCCTTGAACACACTATTGATGGTTAAAAGAGTATCACCTTAAGAATATGAAAAGGCTGACAGAGTACATACACAGTGAAATTGAGAAAAAGTGGCCCTAGTTGATATATGGGACTCAAGAAAAGTGATGTTGAGCATGTGTTTATTTTATCATTAAGGGTAACCCCAAGGGGTTGGGCTGGTAGTATGGCCTTGGGTCTTGGCGGTGTGCTCCTTCCAAGGTTCAAGGATTGAAACCTTTTAGGTGTTAACAATTCTTTAGGGCCATCAGACTGGGGAAAAATCCTTGAATTAATCGTGGTAAACTTGTGGGAAACTCCTTGCCGAGGGATTGTGCACCCCTAGAGAGTAGTTGGACTTTGATTCGGACACCCAGTGCCAATCAAAAAAAAAAAATCATTAAGGGTAGTTTAGTCATTGTTAGCCTTTAGGGTTTTACTTAGTTTTCTTATATACATTTCTCCTGTAATCTTTCACTAATTAATTCAATAATACCATGGTTTAGGTTAAACCTAGTTTTGATGGTATCAGAGCTAGGTTTCGATCCTAGGACACATGTTAGCTTGTTGTTCAACTAAAAATATGGATCTTAATCAAATATGCAAAGTACGATTCATCTAGCCAACCCCAAGTAGGTGGTGAAGATTTGTGTAGTTGAATTGATTTTATCAGTTTGTAAGTTTCTTTAACCTTAAGGTAGTAATATACTCAGAAGGTGGCTGTGCATAAACCACTTGTTGAAGTGGTTGTGCATGAACCACTTGATGTTAAGGTGATTGCTTGTGAGCATCTTCTCAACTGCTCGTCACTAAAATGGCTGTATTTGGCACTTGTTTGTCATTGAATGATTGCATGTAAGCCACTTGTCACTTGCTTGTGATTAAGAGTCTATGTAGCCACTTTTCACGTACTTGTCATTGAGCTTGTTGCCTGTAAGCCACTTTTAAACTAATTTCCAGTAGTAGCCTTCTCTATTTTTAGGTGCTTCACTATAATGTAACCCATAAGCTAGTTAGTTTATATCAATTGAATTTTAAAGTTTTCATATTTCGGGAACCTAACAATGATCGCCAAAGATGGTGTTTTTACTCTATTTTTCTCAATGGCTCAATCTATAAATTTTCACATAAAAAATTACATCTTAATCAAATATGCAAAGTACGATTCATCTAGCCAACCCCAAGTAGTTGGTGAAGATTTGTGTAGTTGAATTGATTTTATCAGTTTGTAAGTTTCTTTAACCTTAAGGTAGTAATATACTTAGAAGGTGGCTGTGCATAAACCACTTGTTGAAGTGGTTGTGAATGAACCACTTGATGTTAAGGTGATTGCTTGTAAGCATCTTCTCAACTACTCGTCACTAAAATGGCTGTATTTGGCACTTGTTTGTCATTGAATGATTGCATGTAAGCCACTTGTCACTTGCTTGTGATTAAGAGGCTGTGTAGCCACTTTTCACGTACTTGTCATTGAGCTTGTTGCCTGTAAGCCACTTTTAAACTAATTTCCAGTAGTAGCCTTCTCTATTTTTAGGTGCTTCACTATAATGTAACCCATAAGCTAGTTAGTTTATATCAATTGAATTTTAAAGTTTTCATATTTCGGGAACCTAACAATGATCGCCAAAGATAGTGTTTTTACTCTTTTTCTCAATGGCTCAATCTAATAAATTTTCACATAAAAAATTACTCTCTCCGTCCCAAAATATTAGTCTTTTTCGGGAATCTAACTTTTTTTGGTAGTACAATTATTATATTTCAAAATATTTTATTTTCCAAAACTACCCTTTGATAGTACAATTATTACACTTCAAAAATATTAATGTTAATGAATTTAAAAGAAGGGTAAAATAGGAAATTCATGTTATTTTAATTCTTGATTTTTGAAAAGGGACTAATATTTTGGGACAACGAAAAATGGAATAAAGACTAATATTTTGGGACGGAGGGAGTATCAAATAAGTGAATGAAGGTTATTCAAATTCAAGAGGGCATTGAGACAGCAATTTAATGAATTATTGCATTTCAATTTCAAAATAAGGCTTCATGAAGTGTAATATTTTTCATTCACTTTCCTAACGATTTATGTTTTTTAGTATTGTTTCTTAATATGATTTTCCTCAAGCACTTTGCAGATTGGATTTGCTACAACCTGAACTTTTATAGTGATATTTTTCTTGTCGCAGCTGGAATTGTACTCTTTCTTCTTGTAGAGAAAATTGTGAGGTATGTTGAAAAGAATTCTAAAGGAGCCAATGTGTGGAACCATACTCACCACCACCATCATCATAAGAACAGTAAAAAGTTAAAGGATGACAATGACGATGATAACAAGATTCAGCAGCAGTCTCTCAATGAAAAGAATGAATGTGTATCAGAAATTTCATCTCAAGGGAAGGTTTTAGATGGAGGGTCTGAAAAGCAAAATCAGCCTGAATCTCTTCGGAAGGTAAGATGAGTTACAATATTGTGATTTTTCCTGGCCGTTATGATCAACTTTGAACTAGGTTGGTTTCTGGGCGTTTCTTCATATGTGCACCTAGAATTATAGTCAAGCAGCAGCTGGGCTAGACTAGAATTGTTTTTTTTTTTTTTAAAGAGTTGTCTCTAGCCATAAATGTATACAAACACATGCGACATATATCGATCTCTGATCTGTATCTGTGACATGCAAAAGGGATTGTTTCTTCTTCATTCAGAATAATATTTGCACAGTTCCTAATATCCTTGCGATAGAATGTTCTAATAGCATGAAATGAAATGTGGTTTTCTGCTTTTCTTATTTTTAATTTTAGTTTTCTGTTTGTTAAAGATCAAAAATAATGATTCAGACCTCGATAAGTTACAAAGTTTTGTGGCAAAAAAGGTTGAGAACATAACACATTGAAAAACAAATGTAAATATCTAGTTGGATTGTTGTGCTATTGCACAACAATTTCATATCAAATATGTTTTGTTGACTGAAATGTTATAACATTTGATGAAGTATCTTATTTCATGGATACATAATCCATTATCCAATCTTACCTTTTGGTTTGAGGAACCTGAATGGGAACACGGTGTCACATGATTCGGATGTGTTGGGTAGTTCAAATCACGGGGGTGGTTCTATTTTGATCAGGATATAACAATGTATTAATATTATTAAAATGCAAACATTTTTCATTAGACTCATAGATTTATTACCCTTTCAAGTATTTGGGAATGGTTAGCATTCCTTATATTTGAACAAAACTTTATCATGTAAATTGGCAGGGCATTCAAGACGCCCACTAGCTTACTTGGTAAGAAAAGTGGTAATAATATCAAATGCTTGGATTCAAGATTCCAATAAAGCTAGGACTGTCTTCATTATTATTAAAATTATTACTGTGACTTGATTGTTATTGAAACTTACCTTTGATCCTCACTTTTGCAGAGAAAAACTGGCAGTGGTGCTGGAGAAGATAATATTTCAGATGCTCCAAATGGCTCCACTGACCATATAAAATCCGTGGTCGAAAAAGAACCTTCTCATTCTCCATCAAATCTTGTGTTTGGTTACCTTAACCTCTTCTCTGATGGTGTAGTATGTTTTTATTTTTATTTTTATTTTTAATTATTATTAAATTAAAATTTCAATGGTAATGTTGTTTCTTTATGATTGGTGTTACTGTCCGTGAAGATAGATTTAATGGACACAAACATGCAAGGGTTTTACAATTCTATAGGGAAAATTTTTACACTTTAATTGATATATTTGACTGAAAACTGAAGCATTCAAATGTAACGTGTAACATTTCAGCACAATTTTACTGATGGGATGGCTTTGGGAAGTGCTTTCCTTCTTTATGGATCAGTTGGTGGGTGGTCAAGAACTCTGTTTCTGCTTGCACATGAGCTTCCTCAAGAGGTTCGCTTTCTTCCTATTGTTCCTTCATTTTGAATGAAGATTTTAATAAAGAGTAATGACTATATAATTTTATGTCATAATATTGATATCAATTTCATATTTTTTTGATCAATAATATCAATTTCATATAATAAGCTATTTTGGCAAGTTGATTCAAAAGATTCAGAAGGGATCTTCATGCGGTACAAGGTTGTATTTGCTTATTATAAGTGCATATATATTGGTTAATTTTGTGTTGTCACTTAATTGTTTTCCCTATTAAAATTCTTTTCACGGTTGACCGGGCTTTAGAAGGATGCAAGCATGCAAGGTGCCTTGTTTTGTTTCCTATAAGAAAATGTGAGCTGATGGTTTATTTTACTCCATAACTAACTGCATATATTCTACTAGGCTTGATACTTAACCCCACTGCATTGCAGCATCTGCTAAAATTCTATACCACGGGTAAAAGTGCAAAATGAATTGGATCTATTAGATGAACGCCATTTCTAGTTCTTTTCTTATGGTAAATATAAATGACACTGTTTCTAGGGCTAATCGTGCCAGTAGTCCCTATATATTATCCCTTGTGTCATTTTGGTCATTGCAATTTCAGTTAACTCGATTTTGCCTCTTAATTTTAAATTGTATCAATTAAGTCCAATCGAAAACGGTCATTACAATTTTTGACGGAACCAATTTTCAGGGGCATAATGGTCAATTCAGCTGTTTATCTCTCTACCTTCCACAATTATTGTTTCTTTCTCCCCGACAACCCAGTGCAAACCATCACCACCTTCCATCATCAACGTCAGCTATTAGCAGTGGCTATCAACACCACCACCTTCGTTCATCACTGCTAGCAATCACCAGCATCCACCATCTTCCACCCTCCCAAACCACCACTTCTGCCACCCAAAACCTCTTCCACTCAACCCACTTCACTGTCATTGCCACCAACTACCATCAACCAGCCGCAGTCAACCATTGCTAAAACGCCCTTTTTGCCATCCAAACCTTCCTCTACCAGCCCGAAACCCAACCCATCAACATCATCCAACTATCATCAGCAAGGAAAAAAAAAAAAAAAAATCATTTAGCAATCTCACCTTCCTCCACTTCCATCTCCATTAGCCATCAACAACCCTCCCAACCACTAGCAAACCCCCCCTCCACTACCCCATTACTGTGAAATACCTCATCTGCCAAATCACTCCCTCTCAACCACCAGCAAGGCCTCCTTTTTGCAAAACACCCCTTTTGTCAAATTAATTTTACCCTCCACCATAAATCAACAAAAAAGAAAAGAGTGAAGATAGATAGGATGGAGGGGGAAGAGAAGAGAGAGGAATGAGAGGCAAGGGATCGATTGAGATTGCCTTTGATATCGTCATTGAAGATCTTCGCCTCTGCCAGGAGAGATTGCCACCTCTTCGTTGCGGCGTGCTCCTCTTTTGTTGCATCCATCCTCAACCCCCTGTTCTCCATTGCTTGAAGCCCTTCTCCTTCCCTAACCCCATCAGCTGCCTCCTTTGTCTCTCTCTCTCTCTCTATATATATATTATTATTAGTTTTGAATTAGTTAACTAAGTGTAATGGGTGCCTCTAAATGCACCCCATTATATCCCTAAATGAAATTACCAAAAAGCCCTAACTTCCACTCAACCCACTTCACTGTCATTGCCACCAACTACCATCAACCAGCCACAGTCAACCATTGCTAAAACGCCCTTTTTGCCATCCAAACCTTCCTCTACCAGCCCGAAACCCAACCCATCAACATCATCCAACTATCATCAGCAAGGAAAAAAAAAAAAAAAAAAAAATTTTAAAAATTCCCCCCAACTATCATCAGCAAGGAAAAAAAAAAAAAAAATCATTTAGCAATCTCACCTTCCTCCACTTCCATCTCCATTAGCCATCAACAACCCTCCCAACCACTAGCAAACCCCCCCTCCACTACCCCATTACTGTGAAATACCTCATCTGCCAAATCACTCCCTCTCAACCACCAGCAAGGCCTCCTTTTTGCAAAACACCCCTTTTGTCAAATTAATTTTACCCTCCACCATAAATCAACAAAAAAGAAAAGAGTGAAGATAGATAGGATGGAGGGGGAAGAGAAGAGAGAGGAATGAGAGGCAAGAGATCGATTGAGATTGCCTTTGATATCGTCATTGAAGATCTTCGCCTCTGCCAGGAGAGATTGCCACCTCTTCGTTGCGGCGTGCTCCTCTTTTGTTGCATCCATCCTCAACCCCCTGTTCTCCATTGCTTGAAGCCCGTCTCCTTCCCTAACCCCACCAGCTGCCTCCTTTGTCTCTCTCTCTCTCTCTATATATATTATTATTAGTTTTGAATTAGTTAACTAAGTGTAATGGGTGCCTCTAAATGCACCCTATTATATCCCTAAATGAAATTACCAAAAAGCCCTAAACCTTACCACCATCTTCTACCTTGGCTAGTTGGCACCACTAGCAGCTCCAACAGCCACATCACCCTCTCCAACTCTCACCCTACAGCCCCTCCCCACCCTACTCTGGCGATCCCCCATCCGCTGTCGCCAGCCACACTCACCCTAGAACCCTCCCTCAGCTTTGCTCTCTTTCCCCTCATTTGAAATCATAGCTCATGATTCAAACAACTAATGTCAATCAAATTGTGATGGTTGGGATGTATACCATTGAATAATTGGTGGTGGTTAGGATGCAAATCAAACAACTAATGTCAATCAAATTGTGATGGTTGGGATGTATACCATTGAATAATTGGTGGTGGTTAGGATGCAAATCCTGGTTCAATGATTAGGGGAGATCGCAAGGGGCCGTAGTGGTTATGACGGGTGGTGGGGAGGGAAATTGAGAGGGGAGGTAGGGAAGGGATAAATCGTTGGATCTGGGAGGAGGGAGGAGGAGGAGATCGCGAGTGGGGAGCTGGGAGAAAGGAGATCACGATTGGGGAGGTGGGGTTTAGGGTTGCAATTTGACGGGGAAGGAAGGGGAGGTAGCGTCAGGCTGCAAGGAGGGAAGGGAAGGCAGCTGCGTGCTGGTGGAAGGGTGCTGTCAGAATAGATGGGGCGGTGGTGGTGGTGGCGCTGGAGGTGGGATAAAGTTGGTGTTAATTGGGATGCTCAAAGAAAAAGAACAAAATTGAATTCAGAGATTAGGGTGCTTAGAGAAATGGGATGGCCAACAACAAATTTGGGGTGCATTTAGAGGCACCCAAGTGTAATTCACTAAGCTGGATGGGTTATGGGTGAATAGACTATTTTACCCTTGAAACATGACGTGTGCCATTCACGGGCGACACAAAACTTGAAAGAAAGGAGAAATATCGAGTGAATTGAAATTACAGGACCAAAATGACACAAGGGATAAAGTATATAGACTAATGGTGTAATTTTTCCTTGTTTTTATGTGCACATGACAGGTGCAAAATGAACTGGACTTGGTACATTTTGTGTGGAGTTTGTGATCTTTACCTAGGACATTCATAGTGTGATTAGCATGATAATAGAGACCTCATATTCGTCAACATGTTAACATAATTTATCTAAATAGCAAATATTTGATCTAAAATTTTGTTTACATATTTTTGTTGTGTGTCATTAAAGATTTGCCATGTTGCTGTAGTTATGCTTTGTCCTTATCAATGCCACATTAGAATTTAATCATATTTTGGGCAACACTTAGGCCTCGTTTGGGAACATGCTTTTTTAGTAACTTTTTAGCTTTTTGCCTAAAATATGATGTAAAAAAAACTAGTATGTTTGGGATGATTTTCTAGTTTTTTACGAAAAAATGTGCAAAAAGTAGAGAGAAAATAGAATCTTTGACTTTTTGGTATAGATTGTTAGCCTTTTGGTTTTTTATTTGGCTTTTTGGTATAGGTTGTTGGCTTTTTGGTTTTTTAGTGACTTTTTGACTTTGAGGCTAAAAAGTAATGTTGCCAAACGAGACCTAAATCTTATATTGTATTTCATCCTTCAATTTTTTTCTTTTTTAATTAAAAATGTAATTTCTTTTGGAGCTATATCTTTTATTAAACCCTCTTGTGCAGATAGGTGATTTTGGAATCTTGGTAAGATCCGGTTTCAGTGTCTCGAAAGCTCTTTTTTTCAATTTCCTCTCAGCACTGGTGGCACTAGCAGGAACAGCATTGGTTAGTGTTGTCTCAGTATGGCAAGTTGAATCCTCCCCCCTTTTTTTTAGTTGTCCCAAAATAATTGAAGAATTAATAAACACGTTTTATGGTTATTGCCACACAGGCTTTAGTCATGGGCCAAGATCCAGGACAATCATCTTTGATTGAGGTAAAGAATCTTCAAGAAATGATCTGAGTAAGTTCAATTTGGCACTGAGGGTATCATATGCATTAGTAGTAATCCAAACACGTTTTTGTTGTTTTTGTTTTTAGGGATTCACAGCAGGCGGGTTTGTGTACATTGCAGTTGCCGGAGTGCTGGCAGAAATGAACAACGGCAGCAGCTCAGCAATAAAAAGTACAGCATTCCAGCTAACCTCACTGATATTTGGAATGGCAGTTGCACTTTGTATATCCCTTGTTGAATGAATTTAAAGCAGCTTCAAATCTGTGTGTTTAAATTTGTAGTTTCAAAGATCAATAATGTAATTTAAGTTGTCAATCACTATTGTCAGGATCGGTATCAATTTTTGTTATTTTTCTAAATTTTGTACTGTGTCATGTACTTTTAGTAATAGAAAGATAGAAATTAAAATATTAATTTGCTCATGGCACCAACCTATGCCATACACTTAACTTTGGTGGTGGTGGTGAGATGGTGGTACTGTAGATGCATTGGTAAGATTTTCTCTACAAAGCTTTTGTTTTTTTGTTTCTCAAGTTGAAAGTGTTTTCAGCTTAAATAAGCTCAATGGAAAATATTTTTCATGTTAAATAATGTTTTCCATCTAAAAAAGTTTAACCGAAAACGAAATGTTCACATTGAATACATTGTTCTATATTGAAAGTCAGTATATTTTTTTTCTGTTTGTATATTCATTACTCATTTCTTCAATGGCCATTTTCCTCGTCCCCAAAATCTGTCTAAACTGGTAGGATATCAAAGACAACATATCCACATAAGTATCAGAATTTTTGCAAGAACTTTGATTGCCGGAATCGCTTTCCATGGCCTCAACAAACTGTTTTCGTAATTGGCTCCAACTATAGCCTCATATCCTCAACCAACATTATACTCACTTTTTGCTGAGAACTGCCAAGTCCAACGTCCGTTGCATTCGTAATTGAGATAGATATGCTCACAATGATATCAGGTAGTATATTGCACAACATTTTCGTAATTGAGATAGGAATGCCCACAATGATATCGGGTAGTTTATAGCACGACATTGCAAAGTGTGGGTAAAAAGTGTACACAACTGACTCAAGTAACACCTTCATTGCCAAAGATAAGCATTTCTCTTTCTATCCTGCATGCCTATGTTTAACCCCATCTGCGACAAATTTGAAGAGCTCCATCTTGGACCCACCCATATGCGAAGACAACCCCAAGTACCTTTGAACATAGTCGACAAACCCTCGATACAAATCAAAAAGAGAAACGGTGATAGCAAATTCCCTTGTCTCAACCCCCTAGATGGAACAATGAACCCAAGTTTGCCCGCGTTAATCAGCAAGGATGAAATACAATAGAGACAAATTACATAATCAATCGGATCCACTGCGTTGCAAATCCCGACTTGCTCATAATAGCCACCAGATGGCCATTCAACTCTATCATAGGCCTAGCTCTTGTCAAGCTTAACAGCCATAGAACAATTTTTACCATACCTCTGTTTTTTCAGATAGTGCATGATCTCTTGGGATAATAGAACAATTTCAACCATACCTCTCAGTTTTCTATTTGTATATCATTACTATTTGTGGATCATGATCACGATGATGAAAATTATGTTTTTAAATGAAGGGACCACACTATGCTACATCATTCTATAGAAAAAAATTTCTACAATTTTCCTGTCTACATATCACTACTCAAACTATTAATGCATGGCAAATAAGTGATGCATCATGTATGCAAAGTACATAAAAAATGAAGGATACATTGTCAACTCAAAGTGGCTGGCCATACCAAACACCTAAATCTGCTTAAACCATGTAAATTTGGAGACAAACTCTACTCCTATTTTATATTTTGACAGTAAACAAGTTATGGAATAGTACTCCAACAATTTCCTCACAAATATAAGTTATATATTACAGATAAGCACTCACAAAAAGTTATATTACATACAAGCACACTTAACTAACAATTTCTAGTACAATCAAACAATCAATCTCTAATTGGTATATTTTCTCTGATAGCACCTTTGAAAACACAATTTCTGTTTGATTCAGAATAGAGGAGGGAAGCCATGGCAAGACAATCTTCATCCTGAAACATATATCAAACTGGTTTTACATTTTCAGCCAAAGGTAAACAAGCTACCAGCATAAATTAATAGCCAATTTTTAGAGGTTAATATTTTGCATTATAAAACTACATTGGGATTTCTCAACATTCTTTAGCTTTTGTGTAACTCACTACTAATAATTTTAAAAAATATATTTTTCACAAATGTATCATAATCGTACTCGTATTCTATTTTTTTAGGTTTTGTTGTATTGTCGTATCTGTATCGTATTATATATGTATCTCATATCCGTATCCATGCTTCCTAATCTAGGAGGAGGGCACCTCTATATAAAAGCAGGCACCCCCATGTGGGAGAGGTACGCGAATTTATGTGTTATGTGGGAGAGGTGCGCGAATTTATGTGTTTATTTGAGTTATCGTTACTCTGTCGAAATATCTTGAGATATTAGTTTACTGACTTTATCATCGGAGTGCCCGAGCAACCAGGTTAGTCATTCTTCTAATTGTGCAGACATGGATCTAGGCAGCGTGTTCTACGGCTGTGTTTCCAGAATTCCAGGAGAAATATCAGAGTATTGGTTGTGTGGTCAAATTTTAGCATACACTCCATACACTTTATTTTTTGATAATTTTTTTATTTACTTTTTCAAGATCCTTAACTTTAGGGGAAAACCACATGCAGGTGGTAGAAGGGGAAAAAAATTACAAACACACGGGGGTGCAAGTGTGTCTGTGGTAGGATGCAAATGAAAAGCTGTAGAGCCTCCATGTATTGGTAATTTCTTTCCCCTTCTCTCACCTGCATGTAGTTTCCCCTAATTTTATTTCCATACTTGACCACATGGATATTGTTATCTAATACTTACATATCGCATATACCAAAAATGTTTACAAAAAAAAATAAAATAAATAAAAATGAAAATAAAATATGAAAAAAAATAAAATGCTATATGCAATATGCTCAATTAAATAAAAAATAAAATAAAATGAAAATGAAGTGAAAGAAACCATTTTTATGTAATTGTAAATTAAAAATTTTAGTTATATCGTACGAGAAAATCTAATATAAAAGTATATATATTTATCTTGTGTGCTAAACATAATTTTTATAATTCATTCAATTTTTTTTTTGATTTAAAATGTTACTGATACACATAATGACATACATATCTATTAGTTAATACTTACAATAAAATATTAATAATAACAATTAAAACACGACTTTAGTGCAATTCAAATGAAAACAACTCATTCACATTATTTTAACTATTTTTTTCTTTTAAAATTTAAAATTATTAGTTTAATTTTCAAGATAAATTTTTTACTATTTATTTAAGACGGTACAGTTTTATGCTAGGTTATATATACACAAGATAGATTTCTTTTATTTGATGTAGGGTTGAATCCAAAATGAGAAATATGACAGAGAAAAGAAAAGATTAAACATAAATATAAAAAAGAACATACCTTTACAAGTTGTATCATTACAATTTTGACTCAAAGGGCCAACGTAGATTTCCTAATCAGCACTTTGAGCCAATTATTTCCAATGCTCTCTTGCTCTTCTTTAATTTTCCTGACAGATTCCACAACAGTGGAACGACAATAGTTTACCTCAATCATCTGCAGAGTGAGTATATCCCCCAAACTAGATGGTATTTCCTCGAGAGATATACACCCGGCCAGCAACACGTGTTGAAGGCTTGGAAAGTGACTAGAGCAGGTGATCCATTGCTTAACACTGTAGTCCTTCAGTTTCAAGAATTTGAGTCGAGGAAACCCACAATCAGTTGTTGCCCATTGCCGTCCCCTACCAGCACTATTTTCTAATTTGAGAAGCTCAAGGTTGGGTAACAACATCCCAAGGATTGAAATTTCCTCCCACTCTATATTTGTATATTTCAAGGTTAGCCTTTTTACATTTGTAGGAAACTTGACCTCTCGGAAATTGGTTGGGTACAAGAACTTATTCAGTAGCTTCAAAGTCTCAAGGTGTCTTAAAAATTCTAGATTAAGAAACATCAAATTCCCTGAATCTGACAACAGATGTCCACAAAGTCCCAGCTTTGTAAGAAAAGGAGTTCTTGCCAATAAATCCTGAACATGTCCACAGGGGTTTATGTTTGCGATGGTTCGTAGGTTTCCTAATATAGAGGGGTGGTTGTGATTTGTTACTGCTTCTTCAGAACATAAAGACCCATCATATTTTGCTCGTCCTTTAGCATAAAGATGCCTCAATTTTGTAATGTTCCAAACATTACATGGCAGAATAACCTCACTCCATTTTGTAGAAATAATAATAAGTGTTTCTAGGTTTGAGAGATTGGATATTGATGGTGGTAATTCACAGGAATATTTCAAATTAATTGCCAAATACCTCAAATTAAAAAGCTGTGTTAATTCTCTTGGAAAGAAGGCATTGTTATAGCATATTTCCAACACTCTAAGAAGTTTGAAGGTACAACAAATAAACGAGTACATATCACCAAACGAATCGTCGTCATAACCAATTATTTTCTCAAACTCATGTCTGAAACACAGTAATGACTGAAGAACTGTTGGGGCATAAGACAGTAAAAGAATATGATCAAATCTTGGTCTGAAGTAAGAAAGGATGCACAGGTGACGTTGGTTATTTGTTTCGTAATTACTTGAAGAAGAAGGAGAAGCGTCTTTATAATTGCGAGTCCACTGTAGGAAATTAATTTCCCTGGCTTTCTTCAAGCATAAATCACGCAACAAATCATGCATACGACATGCTTTAATTCGACCATCAAACCTTTTTTGAGCAACAATTACTAGACTTCTTTGAATTAGATCCATTAAGTAATCCTCTGCTACTTCCTCCAAGCTTCTCTGCCCAATTTTTTGTATAAACCCCTCAGCTACCCACAAAGAAATTAACTTCTGCACCGGGATTTCTTGGTCTTCTGGAAATGCTCCCAAATAGAGAAAGCATGGTTTCAAGTGGCGAGGCAAGTGATTGTAACTCAGTGCTAGTGTGTCCAAGTACTGGTTTGGATCACTAACAATGTATGAGCTTACACTTTGGGCAACTTGTATCCACGACTCTTGTGTCTTGATGTTCTTTGCAAGAAGTCCTGCTATTATAACAATTGCAAGTGGAAGCCCTTCACATTTTTTCATTATTTGCTTCCCAATTTTAATCAGTTCTGGAGGGCAACTTTCATTGTGAAACACCTTCCGTTGTAATAACTCCCAACTCTCTTCTTCAGTGAGAAAACGCAGACAATGAGGATGGCAATCAGGTGAGGCATGCATAGACAACTCTTTGAGCCGACTAGTGAACATTACTCTACTTCCATTGTTGTCATTGGGGAAATACATTTTAAGATCAACCCAGGCACCAATATCCCATAAATCATCAATGACAATGAGATATCTCTTGCCTTTTAATTGCTTGTACAACTTTTCGCCTAGCTTCTCATTGGTCATGTTTTTAATTTCATTGGTAAAGACGACATTAACATAACGTAAAATGTCCAACAACATATCTGTTTTTGTGGGTAATTGAGAAGCATAGGTCCATGCACGAATATGAAAGTAGTGTGTGATGTAAGGATCATTGTACAGTTTTGTGGCTAAAGTAGTCTTACCGAGTCCAGGCATCCCAACAATTGATATAATTTGTAGCTGCTTCTTCCCTCCAGCAAGTAGCTCTTTTATAGTCAACGCCTCATCATCAAAGCCCACTGTAATTTCTTCATCTACCATGGTTCTGTTCTCCATTGACATTGACACTGACGAATGGACTCCATCATTGAAAGACTTACAATCTTGTAGGAGTTGGATCTGATTTATCTGGTCATAAAACTGCACCACTTTTGCCTTGATCGTCTTAATCTCTTCCATGATATTTGTGCCAACTAAAATATCAAAAAAACTGTCACCGTTGTTGTTGCTGTCCCTCTGCCCTGGAACGTCAAGATCAAAAGAACGGATGAGTTGCCTCGTCTTGCAGATCACAAGATAAATTTGCATCGGCAGGTTTTTAGGTTCATAGTTCAGCTCATGCTGCTGCTGCTGCTGCCTCTCTTCCAAATCCTTGAGAATGGTTGCTAGGAATCTTAGCCGATTGTAGAAAGAGTCGAGATGATCAATCTGATCTGCGGTCAAATTGCAGGCGTTACTGATCATTAGATGATTCAGTTTCTCCAAGACAGAATAATTTTCACCCATCTCCCTCTCGAATCTCTCTCTGTGTTTCTCTAAGACAGAATACTCTTCACCCATCTCCCTCTCGAATCTCTCTTTGTGTTTCTCTAAGACAGAATACTCTTCACCCATCTCCCTTTCGAATCTCACTCTCCGTTCCTTCAAGACAAAATGCCCTCTCAGTATCTTCAAGACAGAATAATTTTCACCCATCTCCCTCTTGAATCTCTCTGTCTGTTGCATGATAGATCCCCTCTCGAATCTCGTTGTGTCTTCCCCCAAGACAGAATAATTTTCACCCATCTCCCTCTCGAATTTCTTTCTCAGTTTCTTTCTCAGTTCCAAATAATTTTCACCCATAGCCCGATTTCGCTCTCTCTCTTCCCATCTCTCTATCTTTCTTGTTTTCTCTCTCTCTCTTTCTCTTTCTTTTTTTCTTTCTCTTTCCATAGCCCGATTTCGGTGCTCTGCTATCTCTCTCAAGTTTTGTGTTCTGAAGACGGAGTTCAATCAGAAAAGACTTTGTGGGTGTTTTGCAGGAAAAAACTGGTGATTGAGCACAGAATCTTGAAATGGGTTGGCGGTGGTGTCGATCCAAAATAAAAAAAATAAAAATAAAAATAAAATTGTAAAGAAAGATCTTTCAGAGTGAAGAAGCGGAAGGAGCAAGCGGCTTCTGGAGTTTGGACCAAAAGGAAACATTATTGAAAGCCGAATTGCAATGACAAAAGTATTAGTGTAAAGATACAGCAAAAGGAAATTTCATTTGGCTCTTAAATTTTTTTGCTTATATTTTAATTTAACTTTCAGATGCCGATCATTTAAAATTTTTAAAATTATGATTAATTTAATTCTTGTGGTCATATTGTGTCTACAATTAAATAAAATATACTGACGTGACATTAAAATTTATTTAAAATTTTATTTTATTCTTAAAAATATATCTTAAAAATCAATTTATTTCCCAAATATAAAAAAAAAATAATAATAATAAATAAATTTAAATATTTAATAAATAATTTTTTATCTCAATAATAAAAAATTAAATTTTAAATAATATATACTTTGTAAAAACAAAATATAAAATATAAAATTCTTATTTAGAATTATCTTGAGGTTATGAAGTATGGATAATTCGACAAACATGTTGTGTCTGTACCGGGTACTTACCAATTTATGGTATTTTTACATACGTACTGAGTACACAAAACACGTACTCAAATTTTTCCTTTTTAATTTTTAGCGTACCCAGACATATCTAGTATATATCCAAGCTGTGTCATATCTCAATTCAAACAATATTTTTTCTACTACAAAGGTAAAAATCCTTTTACTAGACTTCTTTTTCATTTTTAGTTTTGTGTTTAGTATGCTTTTAAAATTAAGTTATAGTTTGTAAATATAATGATATTTAATTTTGATTTATCTTGTACCTATACTTTTGACATTAAATGTCAATTGTATGTTGAATTTAACAAATTAAACCATTTAATCAATTTTTGTGTTATTCCAAATTAAAAACAAATATTTTTTTCCAAACGTATTAAGCCGTACGCGTATCTTACTTTTTTTTAGATTTTACCTTGTCGACGTACCCGTATTGTACCAATACCAATGCTCATACCCATACTTGTGATTCATAAGTCTCAAATTATCTTGAGTCGATCCTAGAGAAACTTATTGATTCAAAAATTTCTTGGCTACTCTATGTGTGTAAGCATAAGTATAATTAATTTATTACGCAAATTAATTTTAATAGAATTGATCAACTAATAGTAATTTCAAAATTGAGTGAGAAAAAAATTTCAAAATTCAGTCAATACCTTGTACGGATATGACATGTTTGCCATAGTACTCATGCTTCTTAGTTTCAAGATAATTCTAAATGAGAATTTTTATTATTATTTTGCAAAGTATATACTGTTTGAAATTTAATTTTTTATTATTGAGATAAAAAATTATTTATCAAATATTTAAATTTAATTTTTTTATATTGGGGGCAAATTGATTCTTAAGGTATAATTTGGTGGTAAAATAAAATTTCAAATGAATTTCGGTGTCACGTCAGCACATTTCATCAATTATAAACGGAATGTAACACTAAGAGCTAAATTGATCAAAATTTTAAAAATTTGGATGTAAAATTAATATTAATCGAAATTTAAGATCAAATTAAAAAATACGTAAAAGTTTGAGGGTCTAAAACAAAAGCAAATAACTTTACTTGTATAAAAGTGAATCACCGCCTTCTAGTCTGTGTGCTCTAAATAAATAAAGGAAAATGATATAGAGACACGTTAGTTACTCATTTTTTAAATTTAATGATGTGTAATTGATATGATTAATTGATAATTAGAGAATATATGAAAAAAGTGTTACTTTTAATATTTTAATTGATTACCACATTACTAAATTTACAATTTGAGCCTAATTTTTCATTTTGAATTGCAATACTCATAAATAAATGTAATTATGAAGATCAATAATGAAATCTAATTTAAGTTCTCAATTCACCAACTATTTATTGGGTGTTGGTGTAAATTTTTATTCTTTTCGTAAATTTTTAAACCATATCATGTGAAGAAAGAGAATTAGGAAATTACAAATATATATACACTTATTTTTATTAAGTAAAATCGTTGAAAAAAATATATTTTACTCATGTAGATGTATAGAAAATATCTAAAATATATATTTTATTAAGTTTAATAACTAAAATATATTATTTTGATATAATTTAGATTAAAAAAAATAAAAATTAGAAAAAAAGTTAAAAATTTATTTTGTTATAAAGTTCAAACATTAATTATTTTATTTTTTTAAATTTTCTAAAAGTGAATTTAATTTTTTTTTAGATGGGCAAAAGAGAATTTAAACTATTCCAATAAATTGGTTTAGAAAAATGCATAGATTCCTTTTTTTGGACTCTCAGAATCCCTTTGAATCTCAACAATTGATATATGTGTGGGATCTATTCATGTATATAGACTTACCCCATTAATAAATGAGATCAGAAAATAATTTTTGAAAAATTTTATATTTATATTTTTTGTATTTTAATATTTTCAGTGAATTTTTTTAATATTTTAAATAATTTTTTTAATTTTTAGACACACTTAATATAAACACACTTAAAAAGTAAAATATTTGTGAAAAAAATCTTAAAAAAATACACTAAATACCAAAAAATACAAAAAAAATAAAAATAAAAAATTTAGTACATTTTCGTATTTTTTATGTATTTATTAATTTTTTAAAATATTTTACTATTTAGATACATCTAAGTAAAGTACATCTAAAAAAATTAAAAAATAACTTAAAATTTAAAAAATATTCAATAAAAACAAACAAATACGAAAAATAAAAAACTTAATTTTTTAAAAATTAAATTCAAAAAATTAAAAGCAAAGACTGATTTACAATTTTTGGTTTTTGTTTTTTACGCACCATCAATGAATTGTGAAAGTTTTTTTATTTGATATAATTATTGTTTACATCACATCACCCACCATAGTAAATTAAAAGCGTTTTGATCTTATCCATTTCACATATATAATAATAATAACTTATTATGAATTTAATGGCCATGAAATAAAAATAAAAATTTTAAATTATTTTAAATAAAAAAAAAACCATTACACTCATCATTAAATGATATATAAAAGAATTTCTCTATTATAAATATGCAATGAAAAAGATCACAATTTCTAAATTAATAACCAATGCCTCTAATTGCGCTTATAATTTTTGGTGCAATTTGTATAATATTCATTTCGGTTCAAATTATTGGTTTGGCATACAAACCGAGAATTTTCTCATGTCAAATTTTTTAAATATTTTTTATCAATTAAAAAATCTTTTTAATTATTTTTACTTTATGAAAAAATTAAAATTTTAATATAAAAGTATATTATTTTTAAATTTTCATTTTTCATGTCCGAGGTAGTATTTTACAACATGTATTTTTGACTGGTGGTGCTAATAAACCCCATTTTTTTTTTTAAGAAGTCCTGCCGTTAGGTATTTTTTAAGGACGCTTGGATCAAAAATCAATTTTTTAATTTTGTTTGGTGGGAAGTGATGGTGGAAATTGATGATTTGAGAGAGTTAGAGTTAGGGTTTGGGGAAAAAAATATTTTGATAACTTAATTTTAAGACAAAAAGGTAATAAAAAAATCATTAAATGTGTAGAAAGAAATGAAATAGTGTTTGGAAATAGAATGACACAGCGAAATAAGTCATACGAGACTAGATATCGTTCTAGTACACGAGAATTCTTGCATCCACAAGAACACCCTTGAATCCACAAGGAAGATAGAAGAAAAGCTCTTAAAAATATTATTGAATGAATAAAAATTACATATGCTTGTAGGCTTATTTATAATAGACTAAGCCTAATACTTGTAGGAAAAGTGATTCCAAAATAAATTAGGAAACTTAAATCAACACAAATTAAGAAACCTAAGAGAACTAGAAAACCTAAGAGACTAAAAATTCTAAACTATTTAAAATTCTAGTAAAAAACCTAATTCTAAATAATAAAATGGGCAAATTACATATACCCCCTCGAGGTATGGCTAAATTACAAATACCCCCCTGAGGTTTCGGAAATTACATCCCGCCCCCTGAGGTTTGTATTTTCATAACAATTTGCCCCCTGAGGTTTATATTTCATAACAAATTACCCCCTAATTTCTTATGCAAATATAGCATTCAGGGGGGAATTCGTAATTTCTCAAACCTCAGGGGGGTATCTGTAATTTACCAAACCTCGAGGGGAAAATCCTAGTCAAAAACCTAATTCTAAATAATAAAATTGAGAAATATAAAAATTATAGAATTTTGTTCTACATCTTTTTTCTTGCCTTTTGTCGGTCCAATTGTTCCAAGAAGTCTTTGGCTACTTGTTCTACATCAGTCCCTTCTTCTTGGAGAGAACTCGACCTCGAGTTCGATTCGGGATAGAGGGGTTCTTCAGCATGATACTCATATAAATTAGTTACATTAAAAGTCTTGGAGATCTTCATGTCGTCTGGTAGCTCAATCACATAAGCATTGTCATTGATTTTCTTTAACACCCTATATGGACCATATTTGCGAGGATTCAATTTGTTGTATGTGCCAACTAGAAATCTGTCTTTACGCAAAAACACCATTACTGAATCTCCTTCCTTGAACAGTTTGTAGCGCCGATGGTTGTCTGCAGCTGCCTTATATTTGGTATTTGTTTCCTCTAGCTTCTGTCGTACTTCTTCTTGTATTGTTTGGGCTTGTTTGGCCATGGTTTCGGCGGCAATACTCACTCTTGGACCCCGAGGCAAACGGAGCAAATCAACTGCATGTTTTGGAGGCGTGACATACACCAGAGAGAATGGTGACTTCCCTGCGGCACTGTGAACTGCGCTATTATATGCAAATTTTGCTTGAGGCAAAGTAAGATCTCATTGCTTTGGTTTGTCTCCACAAATGCTGCGAACCAAATTGCCCAAAGTCCTATTAGTCACCTCCGTTTGACCATCTGTTTGAGGATGCGCGGTTGAACTACGATTCATGGTTGTGTTAAATATCTTCCACAAAGTCACCCAGAAGTGGCTAAGGAACTTGACATCACGATCTGAGGTAATGGATTGAGGGACACCATGCAAACGAACTATTTCTCGAAAGAATAATCGAGCCACATGAGAGGCGTCTGAAGTCTTTCGACAAGGAATAAAATGCGTCATCTTTGAA